CCTGATGTATATACGCTGCTTTTTATCGTTAACATCATTTTACTAATTATAAATATGTATTTTTATGTAGTTGTAGTGAGAATACATTTACAATATGAGTCATTATGCTCCTACATCATCGGTGCCACCCCGTAGTAGCACATCTGGCCGTTGTGTTTATTTATTCATTTATTTTCATCGTACATATATAAACATGTATATGTGTGTGTTGTATCTGCACACCCACCTACACCCACACGCACACACAGACACATGCACATGTTACTGTAAATCTAATAGTAAATGAGAATACACTGATTTATGTATTCCCCTGATGGAATCTGATGATCTATCTCTCATTCAGTCGCTAGCTGTCTGTTTTTGGTTTTTGTAATAGATAATGAGAGAAGAAACAATGAAATTTATAGGGGCACATATTGTTTCTTAGTTTTATTTTTTTAACCCCTACTTTCGAAATGGGGGAAAAAATGAAATGTAAACAACAAGTGTAGTTTTTATTTCTTTTTCAATTACATTTTGCCTAACTACAACCCGAGATATTACACACATTTATATATAAAGAAATGTGGGTTTTGTATTTGATTTCTCTCCCCACTCATTAACTGTTCATCAACATTTTTACAGATGTATGATTCATAATCATCGTTACTTTATTATTATTATTATTATTATTATTATTATTATTATTATTATTATTATTATTATTATTACTGAGGAATGGTGTGAAATGTTATCTGAACTTGCCTAATTTACAAAATGATGATGAATTTGAAAAAAATTTCATCATTTTTGGGATAGACTTTGATGATGTGCTAAAGTACTATTCAAAACTAGGTTATATCGTAGAATTTTAGCTATTAAATTGTTGCTTAGAACCACCGCTTTACTTACTTCAGTTTTGGCAACTGAATAGTCTTCATACCTGGGATATGACGCGAACCTGGCTATATAAATTTGTATCCGAGAAATGGGTTAATAATACAATCGTTTGGTTTTAATCTTGGGATTCTTACAGTGTGTACTCACAACTCCACTTAAGGGATCGAACAACAATTTATTTTCAAGCTTCATCACGAAAGAGTTACTTTTAGTTCATTGAGTTGAAATCTGTATTCAAATGCTTGTCAATTCATGATATCAGAAGGGGTTTTGTGGAGATTTTAGAAATTTCACTGGTTGAAATCATGAGTTAATTGAAGCTCGACCACCACGGAAAACCTGGAGGCACTGGACGACCGTTTCGTCCTAGTATGGGACTCCTCATCTGCTCACTAGTGACTGACTTCAAGAGATACTCCTGGAGTTCTAATGAGAAGCCGTTACCAGTGGAGTTCAACCAGGTCTGTTGTGAGATATCAACTCACTGAAGACAATGGCGTACGGTGGCGCAACTTCGTGGATTGATTGAAGTTAGACATTAACACCGTTGGATGCCGGCTCAGTGGTCTAGTTGGTTGAGTGCCTGGCGCGAGACTAGTAGATCCTGGGTTCGAATCTCGCGGGGTGCGGGATCGTGGATACGCACTGTTGAGGAGTCCCATACTAGGACAGAACGGCCGTCCAGTGCTTCCAGGTTTTCCATGGTGGTCTAACTTCAATTGACTCATGATTTCAACCAGTGAACTTCATGATATATTAATACATGACCATCATTCTCATCGTTGATAATTGCCTATTACAACGCCAACATGGTTGAATCCTACTGACAACGATTTCTTTTTGGAACTTTAGAAACTCTCTTCGAAGTTAACTCTTGTTGAGAAATGGCGAACAGATGAAAATAACTTTTATTAGCATATATTATCGTAACTATTTGTCGAGGTGTTCACCTTTTTATAAGCCTCTTTCTCCTCTCTCTCGACATGAATGAATAAATACCCTAAAACAACTTTGCATACAGTCGTATTATAAGTAGTTACTAATTTTTGACCATTTGTTAACTTACTCGACAAATTATTATTATTATTATTATTATTATTATTATTATTATTATTATTATTATTATTATTATTATTATTATTAAGCATATTATATCTTATCATTGTAAACGATTAGTTAGTATTTACGATGGTATATGCACATTCAGATGTTGTAGTAGCCTGAATAAAAATAGTTCTATCTGTTGAATTCATCGCCCGCCCTACACACGTATAAACACACTCTCTCTTCTTTCTCATTCAGTATTTTTCCTATTTAGATATTTACAAAACGCATTTCACTATTCTACATGTTATCAACTCATTGAAATGCATTTAAGAATTCTCTTTAACTGGAAGATAATTTAGAAGAGGGAAAAAAAATAAGTTGATGACCATGTACATACATTTTTAATCATGAAAGCAATAGAAAACAGTTGATAACAACACGAACATAAGATAATGACATTTTAATGAATAATCTTTGAAGTTGATAACGTTGGATTTTAATTTTGTTACACTTCACACAGTTGGATTAGTTTGTCAATCATACACAAAGTAGAACCTGGCATATGTGTGCATTAGTCCAAGTTTCCTTTGTAAATTAGAACGGCGAAATATAATTGACCCAAAATAAATCCCATAGTAGTATGGCTAATAATAGTGTCGCTAGTAGTAGTACAAATGCTTAAGTATATAGAGAGAGATTTCGGGATTTACGCTCTTAAGGGAAACAAAAAGTTAACTCCATAGGCCATAGCGAAATATTCTGAATCATGTCACACAAAGTCTTTAACCATTGGTTACGATAATCACATGTACCCCAGTCAGGTAGTTTACGCTCAATAGAATGGCTCCGTTCTATTGACAGTGATCTCATGGACTATTGCCACATTTTAGTTTGAAGACCTCTAGCTTTCTTTCAACCTACTCCTACGTCATACAACTTCGGCTGTCAAGGTAAGCGGTGGTTGCGCATATTTAAAACTTTTCTCCATCGCCTCAACATATGAAGAATCACCATCTCAAAGATTGATTCGCCATATTTATTTAGTACTCTATTCTTAACCTTGGAATCGGTCATTCTGTTTTCTCAAAATGTATGTGATACTTCGAATACATCTATTATCGAATGCTAGTACTTATGGCCTCCAAATGCCCTAGTATGGCCGAGAGTAGAGTGGGCCCGCCCTCCATCTCGAAATGCTCTCACACGACCACGCGTATACAGCATCTACCAGGGAAGTCCTACTCACTGCCTTCTCGAGGCGGGGATGTTGTTTACGAAAATGAGAGGACGGAAAGCGGATATCCGGCGCTTTAAACGGATTCCAAACCAAATCAATGATGCACATGGGCTCCAGTATCCTGAGGGAACAAACGGCGTATGAACCAATCGTTGGTCACCGGCTACCATGGGACTGCATCTCCTCATGATGCTCCACTGCCTTGTGGGTCAGACCTTTAGGCCAAAGGCTTGGGGTGTGGCCCCCTAAGAAAACCACGTGGTTCGGTTTGGGCACCCAAGCAGTATCACAGCCCTCACACATATCGAATGAGATTTGTGTGGCGCATATATATTTGGTGCCCTCTTGTACCAATATTTATATGTTCAAATAGATAATAATAATAACTACTACTTACGAATATACTCTATTTTAGTAGTTGGATGTTCCCACCATATGATTTAATCTTACACAATTGTTGTGTATTACTTTTTCTTACATTTTTCTCAAATGTTTGGTTGTTTTTTTTTAATTTTTTTATTTTTCGATTTACAATTTTCAGTCATTTCAACATGTTCCTGTTGAATTATATTTGATTCAATCAGAAATATGGACTTTAAAAGATTTAATTCAATCAAATGTTAGCATTAAAACAACATTGAATAATTTTGCTCATTTCATTATCAATCGTCGTAGAAAGTATCATTCATCGATGTTTGTCAAAAATAATATTGTGAATAAAAGTGATGTAGTAATAATGAATCCTTCCATTGGAAATGATACATTTGGGGTAAATGTTAATTTGTTTCTTTTTTAAAATTGGAAATTTTTGTTACTTATATTTATCAGAATGGGTATCTTCTGAGATACTTCTGGAGTTCTAGTGAGAAGCCGTTACCAGTGGAGTTCAACCAGGTCTGTTGTGAGATATCAGCTTACTGAAGACAATGGTATACGGTGGCGCGACTTCGTGGATTGGTTGAAGTTAGACATTAACACCGTTGGATGGCGGCTTAGTGGTCTAGTGGTTAAGTGCTCGCGCGCGAAACCAGCAGGTCCTGGGTTCGAACCCTGCGGGGCGCGGGGTCGTGGGTGCGCACCGTTGAGGAGTCCCGTGCTAGGACGGGACGGCCATCCAGTGCTCTCGGGTTTTCCATGGTGGTCTAACTTCAATTGACTCATGATTTCAACTTTTGAGACTTATATTTGTGTTTAGATTTTACTATAAATAGAGACTGATCGATTGTAATCCTGAACATCAGTTGTAAGATTCAAATAAACAATATAAAATGAATTTAAACTTCATCCCATTGGACAAGCTAGTTGCTATCAGGACTGTTGGGGACGATAGATCCCCAAAACTCAAATTTTGTAATTTACTTATCGATTAAATGTGCAGATAGGTCAATTGATGAACTATCGATTAAATGTACAAATAGGTCAATTGATGAACTATCGATTAAATGTTCAAATAGCAGTCAATTGTTGATTAATGTTCAAAAATCTTCTATGACAATATCGATTGTAAATAATTGTATAAATACGCTTGACTTGTATGCTTGATCTGATCTGCCTGCCTGACTGGTTATCTGCTGTTTGTCTGTAGAATACACTTTCTACACCTTACCCAGACTTCTTGATCGAGTTAGCAGAGTTGGGGACAACGGACCAGAATAATCTATCGAGATTCATAACTCCGAGGCTGTGACTTTTGTTCTTGACTCAACTGGCTGGGGACAGATAGCGAGGCAGGGCCAATCAGGGCACTAGGTCATCCTTACAAGTTTACGGGTCACTGTCACAGAAGCGATCGATATAACGCTGCGTATCCAAACCCTGCAGTCACACACCTCGCGTTATAACAATTGGCGACGGGGTAAAAAAATACAATCCAAAGTCATTCTGTAATTGGACAAAATCCAGTCTAATTATTCAATCAATCAGTATCCAGTTTGTCATCAGTGTCCCTGAACGACATTGGTCATTATTCATACAGTAATCTTCATTGCTGGTGCTGATCCAAAAAATGACACTCCCTTCCGATCGATTGCAGCTGCTCTTTGAACGACATTTGGAGTTATTAGTCAAGTTCCGCACGCAGCTGCTAAGTCAGTCATGCTATGAAGATGCGACGGAAGTGGATGGATTGATATCTGAGTTACACAGTGAGCTGGAAAATGACAGCAGCCTCCAGGAATCCTCGATTAACTGTACTTCAAACGGAACGGCAGTCATCCATGATGCGCCCAGTGGTCCAGTCCTCTCCATTCCAGAAACATGCCCAGTAATGGACTCAAACTCCATTATCCCCAAAACAGCATGTGCAGGCGGTGACTTATCCAGCTCACAAACACACTCCCTGGTAAATGCTCATAGAATTGTCTCAATAACCGCCCATGAAACAGAAAAACCGAGCGGTACACTGAATGCAGATACTCCAAATGGTCCTCATCATTCAGCAACAGAAGTTTCTGACGAATCTTATTATGGAGATTCTCTTTTACCAGAAAATATGTCAGATACATCAAATGATGATCAAAAACTTAATAAAAATTTGATAGATGCTAATTACCTTGATGATCGATTATCTACAAATAAGATTCCAAATAAATTTGGTCACAATATTTCAGAAGAATTAAACTTCGAAAACCTCACATCAAGTGTCGTTCAGTCTCAAGACTTAGTCACTTTCAGTCAATTCTCTGTTCAGTGCGATAAATATGTCTTAAACAAATTCAAGTTAATTATAACATGGGCATATGAGGATCCAACACTGTTTCGTGGGGGAGGATGGACCTGGAAAACTTAAAATCCGGATATCAACTCCGGATCTTCTAAAAAGGGGAGGAGTGTTGGGGACGATAGATCCCCAAAACTCAAATTTTGTAATTTACTTATCGATTAAATGTGCAGATAGGTCAATTGATGAACTATCGATTAAATGTACAAATAGGTCAATTGATGAACTATCGATTAAATGTTCAAATAGCAGTCAATTGTTGATTAATGTTCAAAAATCTTCTATGACAATATCGATTGTAAATAATTGTATAAATACGCTTGACTTGTATGCTTGATCTGATCTGCCTGCCTGACTGGTTATCTGCTGTTTGTCTGTAGAATACACTGTCTACACCTTACCCAGACTTCTTGATCGAGTTAGCAGAGTTGGGGACAACGGACCAGAATAATCTATCGAGATTCATAACTCCGAGGCTGTGACTTTTGTTCTTGACTCAACTGGCTGGGGACAGATAGCGAGGCAGGGCCAATCAGGGCACTAGGTCATCCTTACAAGTTTACGGGTCACTGTCACAGAAGCGATCGATATAACGCTGCGTATCCAAACCCTGCAGTCACACACCTCGCGTTATAACAATTGGCGACGGGGTAAAAAAATACAATCCAAAGTCATTCTGTAATTGGACAAAATCCAGTCTAATTATTCAATCAATCAGTATCCAGTTTGTCATCAGTGTCCCTGAACGACATTGGTCATTATTCATACAGTAATCTTCATTGCTGGTGCTGATCCAAAAAATGACACTCCCTTCCGATCGATTGCAGCTGCTCTTTGAACGACATTTGGAGTTATTAGTCAAGTTCCGCACGCAGCTGCTAAGTCAGTCATGCTATGAAGATGCGACGGAAGTGGATGGATTGATATCTGAGTTACACAGTGAGCTGGAAAATGACAGCAGCCTCCAGGAATCCTCGATTAACTGTACTTCAAACGGAACGGCAGTCATCCATGATGCGCCCAGTGGTCCAGTCCTCTCCATTCCAGAAACATGCCCAGTAATGGACTCAAACTCCATTATCCCCAAAACAGCATGTGCAGGCGGTGACTTATCCAGCTCACAAACACACTCCCTGGTAAATGCTCATAGAATTGTCTCAATAACCGCCCATGAAACAGAAAAACCGAGCGGTACACTGAATGCAGATACTCCAAATGGTCCTCATCATTCAGCAACAGAAGTTTCTGACGAATCTTATTATGGAGATTCTCTTTTACCAGAAAATATGTCAGATGCATCAAATGATGATCAAAAACTTAATAAAAATTTGATAGATGCTAATTACCTTGATGATCGATTATCTACAAATAAGATTCCAAATAAATTTGGTCACAATATTTCAGAAGAATTAAACTTCGAAAACCTCACATCAAGTGTCGTTCAGTCTCAAGACTTAGTCACTTTCAGTCAATTCTCTGTTCAGTGCGATAAATATGTCTTAAACAAATTCAAGTTAATTATAACATGGGCATATGAGGATCCAACACTGTTTCGTTGGGGAGGATGGACCTGGAAAACTTAAAATCCGGATATCAACTCCGGATCTTCTAAAAAGGGGAGGAGTGTTGGGGACGATAGATCCCCAAAACTCAAATTTTGTAATTTACTTATCGATTAAATGTGCAGATAGGTCAATTGATGAACTATCGATTAAATGTACAAATAGGTCAATTGATGAACTATCGATTAAATGTTCAAATAGCAGTCAATTGTTGATTAATGTTCAAAAATCTTCTATGACAATATCGATTGTAAATAATTGTATAAATACGCTTGACTTGTATGCTTGATCTGATCTGCCTGCCTGACTGGTTATCTGCTGTTTGTCTGTAGAATACACTTTCTACACCTTACCCAGACTTCTTGATCGAGTTAGCAGAGTTGGGGACAACGGACCAGAATAATCTATCGAGATTCTGAATCCTCGATCCGATCGATAAGTCACTGTCATATAATCGGCTGTCTCCTTGAGCCATAACAATTGGCGAATAAGTCGAATCAGTAGTATCCTCAAGGATAACGAACCTAACAAGGACTCAGTAGCTAAGTGAGTAACTCGATGGCATTTGAAGCGAACGGTACTGAGTTCGAGTCTTGGAGTGAACATCAACTCTGAGATGCAGGTAAATCCAGCTGACGAGTACCAAATAGGATGGAACGCGCGTCCTGGATTCTTCTGTTAGCCACCATCCGTCTTTGTTTATAATGCTTGTGACTTAAGGGAATATCGAGGTAATCCTTACAGAATGCACATTTGCTAATAAGAGACTGACCAATTGCAGTTCTAAATATCAATGGGAAGATTCAAACAACCAAATACATAATGAATTTAAAAAGTAATATTAGTTTTATATCACGGACTAATTTTAGTTGGAAAAACCTTTAAACTCAGAAAACCTTGGATTGGTTTTTCGTTATGATACAAGAATTCTTGACAATATGCAACTATAACGTTATCTAAGATTCAACGAAATACCTTCAGATTTTACAGCTTGCTCTTAACTGTAAAACCACTAGAAAAATGATTTTAGCTGAAAATCTATTGAAAATAACAAAACTGTTGGATAATCATTTCTGAGTAAAAAGCGGTAATTTTTAAAGGCATAATACTTTTACTACCAATACTGCTCTGGTATTTGCTTTGACAATTTCATTTCTTTGGGTAACTTGAATTGATGTATACATGTGCCACTATTTACGTTGAGTTTAACTGATGACTAAAATGATAATGATATAATTGCCATCCAACTAATCAACTGCACACTTGATTCGTCAAATTTTCCCTTAAATCAATATAGACTGTGCGGTGTTCGAAACTGTAACTTGCTGGTTAAAACTAAATTCTTGAACCATTAACTCATCTGTTCAGTCGACCAGTTCTGGAATGAATCAATCAGCCTATTGATAGGATCCAACGATGTTCATACTATATATACTGAAATTAAAAAGGTTCAACAGTAACATATTTTGACCTAGTTATCTAAATGTATCATACTCTCTACGAGATACTTGAAAGGTGGCCTTGAATCCAGTCATTAGTAAAATCTAAGTTTAGTATCAAACACCCGATCAATCTTATCTGCTGTTCACTGATTTCAAATCATCCATGTCAGACCATTTTCAAGACTTAATAAATCGATTTATTTAAACGCATAAACATTGGTACGAGGTGGCACTAAATATATGTGCTCCAAACTTCGTCATTCAATTTGTCCGGGTGCTCAGACCGAAAAAGGTGGTTTTCTTAAAAGACCACTCCACAAATCAGTGGAGCACCGTTAGGAGATGTAATCCCATGATAGTCAGTGACCAACATTAGGTTCATACTCCATTTGTTTATTCAGGATCCTCGAGCCCATGTGCACCATTGGTTTGGAATCAGGGTTTTCCAACTCCCCCAGGTGGATCATCTATATCCATTAACCCGGGTAAAGCGTCATACATTCGCTTTTCGTCCTCTCAGTTTCGTAGACAACACCCCGCCGCGAGAAAGAAGTGAGCAGGACTTCCCTGGTAGTGAATGTGTACGCGTGGTTATGTGAGAGCATTTGGGGAGGGAGAGCTGAATCTCCTCACCCTCAGTTCTACCAGGGAATTTGGGGGCAAATTAGTGACACTTCTCGACTTAGTTTAACTCAGTTCCTCAGCGTTAATAAATAAATAATCGAATCCGATTAATACAAATGGTACAGAGGAATAAGGAAGCATATTTAGTGTAATCAAAAGCAATATTACACGATAGTAACACAATCAGACTCATTTTAATTTTCATTGAACTAATCATTCTACTTTCTACCTCTATTCTATTCAAACTTATGTTAATGTAATTTGGTTGTTTACGTATCAACTTTGAAGAAGGAATCAGAAATTTTAAGTTCTACTCATTGTGGAATATCACAAATGTATATGTATCTCATTAGTTCTATTATTAATGATCTAACCAATAATCAATTTCAACAGTTGAAATCATGAGTCAATTAAAGCTAGACCACCATGGAAAACCTGGAAGCACTGGACGGCCTTTTCGTCCTAATATGGGACTCCTCAGCAGTGCGCATCCAAGATCCTGCCCCTTCATGCGAGATTCGAACCCAGGACCTATCAGACTAATGATTTCAACTGTTGAAATTACTAAAATCTCCACAAAACCCCTTCTGATAATCATCAATTTGTTTGTAATGAACAAGTCAAATTTTGATAATGTGACTTCAGAATAAAAATGTTCACTCTTGTTTATTAATTTTTCCCGATATTTTGTTTTAGCGTCATCGTATTCATCGAAGATCAGTTAATACTGATAATGATGTTCTTCGTAAAATGTCTCCATCCACCTCATCGTCATCTTTAAATAATCCATCTTTGTATACAAAACATTTTGATGTGCAGTTATTACTCACTGGGAGACGATTTACTGATCTAGTAGAATATATAGCCATACCAGATAGTATATGTACACCAAGAGCTATAGGAATAATTCAAGTGAGTAGTAATATTAGTAGTAGCGAATGTTTTTTTCTTTACCCCTTTATCATTTGTTCCTGTTTTCATATCATTGACAATAGTCTATTGTTTGAAAATACTTATACGATTAAACAAAATACATAGAGTAAAATCTAGGAGTCACACTTCATCCTGTATAAGACTCGTCAACTGGATATATCTGTGTCTCATATTTAATCAAAATAAAGCCGCAACAATTATAATCAGAACGATTTGGCATTTTTAAGTAGGTTTCGAAAAGATAGAATGAAAAATTATGTTTAAAAGAATACTAGACTACTAAGCCTAGATTAAGTTGCATGTTGAATACACCCTCACCCATATGAGAGATTTTAATCCGTGACAACCAACATTACCAGCTACTGATCGTTGCGCTGACACAAACTAAGATGCTTTTTATCTACCAACATGGCTAAAACAAACAGTCAATGATTGGGACGCTATTATTTTCTTTCTAATTTACTCCAACGTTGGTTAAATTGGTTGGACTAGGTAGGCGGAGATGTTCTAACCATCTCAGTCGATGAATACTTGTATGTAACCTCAACACTGCTCACTCGACCATACTAGTTTACGCAAAAATTGCTTCGAAGACACCTATAATGAGAAACTTTTTATCTACCCAAGTTTTATATTTTCATTACTCATGTATCACAGTTATAAGATAATACAAAATGAACTGTTGAATAATATAACTGCCTT